AGCTGACCCCGTTCTCCCTCTTTCTTGGCGCGCCCCGCCCAGCCAGTCCCCTGGGCTGCAGTTGTCCAGTGCGACCCCGCCCCTGGGAGGGGTAGACCCCGCCTCGGCTCTGCGGAGTCCGAGGAGGAAGGTTCAGACCCTTTCCTCACCGTTCTCGGAAAAGGCCTCTGGGCTCTGACCTTCACCGTTTTCGTGGTCGCCTCCCTGATCCCCACCTTTGCTCCCCGTTACCGGCTGAAGAGGCCCGCGTCAGGACCAGCCTGGGCGGGAGTGCGGCGCCGAATGCCGTTTCCCCTCCGGTATCAGCCGCTCGCGCCACGGGGAGTGGGGGAGGCAGGGCGGGGGACTGGAGGAGGGTGGGGCCAGGAGGGGCGGAGAACGCCGGGCGGGGCTCCTCCTTTTCTCGCGAGACTGGAGACCGGCACTGCCGGCTCTGCAATTTCAAAACCCTAGTGGCGGGGTTGGGGTGCCCCGCAGGCCATCCGGAGCTGATGGCCAGCGCCCTCCCGCAAGTCTTGCTGCTCAAGTAAATCTGAAACAGGAGGGCGTCAGTGAGCCTCAACCTCTGGCCCCCGCCGCGCGGGCTGGGAGCCGCTCTCCCGAGGGCCGAGGAGCGGACGGAGCCGAGCGGACGCGGGGCCCACCCGAGGGTCAGACCCCGTGAGGACCTGGCTGCGTGGGCAGCAGCGGAGGCTTCCGAAATCCGAAAGGCGGGGGGAAGGAGGGACGAGCGTCTGCGGGCGGAGAGACACACTCTGGGCTGGGCTTCCAGGTACTGGACGTCGCTTCCCCAGACGAGCCAGCCGCCTCACTGCTTCCCAAGGGCTGCGCTGCGATCCCGCCCAGCAGCCCGCCAGCTCTGAGCGCTGACAGTACGTTGTTGTCGGTTACACTCAGGCAAACAGACGGCTGTGTGAGAGCGGCTTGTGTCCTGGCCAGAGAAACTTCTCGGGTTGGTTAATATTAACTCAGGGACGCAGACAGGACACCAGTTCCCTCGGGCAAAGTACCGGTACCAGCCAAAGGCCCTCCCTCCTCGCCCTCTCCCGGGGAGCGGAGGGGCCTGCCCTGGACGGTTCGCCCACGCGCAGCGCGCCACCGTGGAGTCAGCGCCTACCCGCCTACCCGGAAGGCCTGTTACAAAGCCACAATGATTGTGGGGAGGTATTTTGCCATTTGCTGCTCTTACAACTAATCCTGACAACAGATCTGTATTTCCTGGGAGAATAGAGCTGTGATACTGACCTTTAAAAAATGTTCTGGTCATCACATGCAGTCTTGGAGATTCACAACAAACCCCATAGTGCATCCTCAGCCATGTTGGCTTTTGACATTGTGTGGTCACTGTTAGTGCAGGTGACATAATAAACCGGAAGAACCATTGTTCAGTCCCAAAAGTGTGATTTTCCAGTAATTTATGTCTTTGGCCATGTCAGGAGAGCAAAGCAGCGTGGTTGTTAGCTTAAATCCAGTGGGTAACTAGGATGTGCACGCAGCTTCTGATAGGTTAGACCACATAGCCAAGGCATCTTTAGAGAATCTTCTGTTTTATGTAAAAACAATCCTAAAAAGAATACTGTGGCTTTTAAGATCTAAAGGTGCTCCTATAAAGATTATCAATTCATATAAGAACTGTATACCTTTTAAACTTTCTTTGAAGTATGGTAGAAAAGAACATTGAAAATAACAAGCTCAAGATAATAGGTGCTAATTTTTAATAACTTTTGTAACTGAGTACACACTGGTAACTAGCAAAGAACAGAGAATTTAAATGGGGATTTAAATATAAGAAAAGGATTTAAAATCCAAATATAAAACATAAGGAAATCACAACAATCTCTTTCCATCTGAGATTACCTGGTTTGAATTTCTTTTGATTGATCAGTGCACAGAACAATGCTTACTATCTTTGGACAATGTTTCACAGACTATAGGTACTCAATACTTAAAAGGTGGATAATTTGCTACCTAAGTTGCTTTCTTAAAAGAGGTAAGGAGATAGGGTGGGTGCTACAAATATCAAAATCATATTGAAGGAAAATAGAAAGTTATTTCATTGCAAAACAATTTCTCTAAGTTTTAACTATGTATCTTCTTAGTTTTAGAGCAGGCACTCATTTTTATTTTTAGCCTGTCTTCAGCTATAACCTATAGTGTTGCAGCAAATACTTCATGACTAAGTATCTGCCTTTACAGAGCTTATCTCTAATTAACAAAATAAGTGATTACTATATAAAAAAGCCTATCATTGCCTATTTTTAAATTTCAGTATTGGCATTGTGAAGGGCAAGGTCGAAGGATCTGAAATGCCAAGAAGGAGAAAGCAATCAACAATTATTCCTGGTACCTAATAAATAACACTTGGAGTGAAAGAGATATGATAAATTATCAGCAAAATGCCATTATTTTTCTTCTTAGGTCCTCAATGTGTGAGAGCCAGCTATAAAAATCAGGCATAAATGAGATGACTGTTCTCCAAGCTTCCTGGGTTTAAAAGAATACTACAGATTTATTCCTTATTATGTATCTTCATAAACTAAGGAGCAAAGTATTTTTTGTATGATGTATAACAGTGATGTTCAATAAAAATAAAACTGGTTGTCATCTTCTAAACACAAAGCCACTGAAACATATATGATAATATCTGCTTTATAATTGTGTAAAATTAAAGTCATGGGAATGACTCACTTTATGAAATCTTAGACCAGATTTTTTTTTTAATATATTTTATTGATTTTCCACAGAGAGGAAGGGAGAGAGATAGAGAGTTAGAAACATCGATGAGAGAGAGACATCGACCAGCTGCCTCCTGCACATCTCCCACTGAAGATGTGCCCGCAACCCAGGTACATGTCCTTGACCGGAATCGAACCCGGGCCCCTTCAGTCCGCAGGCCGACGCTCTATCCACTGCGCCAAACCGGTTTCGGCAGACTTTATGTTTTTTTTTTTTCTTTTCCCCTCCCCCTCTGGCCTCAAATATTGATAGTTGAAAATTGTCGTAATGTAATTGTCATTATATTAATCATGTTTTATGTGGTAAAATGTTATTTTTTACCACAGCAGAATATTACTTAAATTACCATGGTTGCCCTGACCGGTTTGGCTCAGTGGATAGAGCATCAGCCTGCGAACTGAAAGGTCCCAGGTTCGATTCCAGTCAAGGGCATGTACCGTGGTTGTGGGCACATCCCCAGTGGGGGGTGGGGGGTGTGGGCAGGAGGCAGCTGATCGATGTTTCTTTCTCATCAGTGTTTCTGACTCTCTCTCCCACTCCCTTCCTCTCTGTAAAAAATATATTTTAAAAAAATAAATTACCATGGTTGTCCAAATCTGTAAATTGATTTTACTTTTTCATGAGCTAACAGTGGTAAATTCTGTTTACCAAAAGTAGAGATATTTTCCCCACTTACATTTTCTTAAAGGGAAAATGTCAAGTTAAAATGTAAGCCCTTGGCTGAAACCGGTTTGGCTCAGTGGATAGAGCGTCGGCCTGCGGACTGAAGGGTCCCCGGTTCGATTCCGGTCAAGGGCATGTACCTGGGTTGCGGGCACATCCCCAGTAGGGGGTGTGCAGGAGGCAGCTGATCGATGTTTCTCTCTCATCGATGTTTCTAACTATCTCCCTTCCTCTCTGTAAAAAATCAATAAAATATATTTTTAAAAAAATGTAAGCCCTTGAAGGCAGGGACTTCGTCTTATTTTCTGTTCTTTCCCTGGCACTTACCTGTACCTGTTACTTTGGAGCTCAATAAATCTTTGTGGAATGGTCTTTTGCTCTTTCTTCTATAAAGTAGAATCAAGTCAGAATGATCATTTTTTACTAAACTTGTTATGAATGCTAGTTCATTAGTTTTTTTCTTACATGAATATCATAATTGGAGGTGGAAAACACACTGGTACACTTTGCACTTTTGTTATGATTCAGTATCTGTAATTGTGAGACATAAACTATGAGATATTTACCACCTAGAAATGCATGAAGGAGCAGTTACAAGCAGCAACAGACCAGTTAGACCACATGCTCATTAAGTCATCAAGTAACTTTATATATATATATATATAGTGTTTTTCTTTATTTTTAGAGAGAGAGGGAAAGGAATAGAAAAATATCACAGATCGGCTGCCTCCTGCATGCCCTTTACTAAGGATCGAGCCCACCACCTGGGCATATGCCTACCTAGAAATTGAATCAGCAACCTCTCTTGGTTCCCGGGTGGATTGACACTCAACCTCTGAGCCACACCAGCCAGGCATTAAAGTACCTTTTTTTAAATGAGAGAATTTGGAGGGCCTCTCAGCCCTCTTCTGAAGGGTTTGAACATATAAATTGTGGGGGATTAGTCCTGTGACCAACATAGCAGGAAAATCAATCACTTTTCCCAGTCATGCTTAGTTTATACAATAATATTAAATTTCAAGTCTTACCTTTTCTCTGAAAATAAGATATAATTTTTGTTTTTATAGCTATTTAACCATTCAACATTCTGATTTGAGGGTGAAAGTCCTTTCAGTAATAGATTACCTCCAAATATGTATTGTAGTTAGCAAAGGTAAAATGGCAAATACTAAATTAGCCATCATCAATTTAAGTAACATACTGAAGTAAACTAGTACAGTAGTCATAGCTAACAAGTCAGGGAATAAAATTAATTTCTAATTTAGAATTGGAAAGTAACATTTTTTATAAATCTTAGATTTCAAAAAGCAGCTTCAAAGGCCTGCTTAGAGTTTTTAAAAGACAAGCTCTCACCCTGGCTGGTGCAGTGGTTAGAGCATCCTCCCATGCACTGAAGGGTCACAGGTTTGATTCCTGGTCAGGGCACATACCCAGGTTGCAGGTTCCATCCCCAGTCTGTGCTAATTACATCAAACAAGTCTGTCTATTCTTAGGAGCATTTAACTGTTTTCTGACTTTATAGTATATTAGAGGCCTTGTGCACGAAATTCATACATGGCCTGGCCAGGGCTGATCAGGGCTTTCCCCAGCTGCCACCTTCTTTTGTTCCACACCACCCCCTGGTGCTCAACACACATCATGGTGAGTGATCAAACTCCTGGTCGAACTCCGGAGGGAACAATTTGCATATTAGCCTTTTATCTATGCTAATAAAAGAGAAACATGCAAATTGGGGTCACTCCACTATGCCCACCAGCCAATCAGGATGAGTATGCAAATTAACACATTGTTTGCGGGTAGTTTTTATCGTGCACTAACAGGTGGTGCTAGTGCGGGCCATTTTTGCTAATTTTTTGCGCAAATGGCAACATTCAGTAAAATTACGATAACTTTAGTTTACGTATTTATACGTTACCCGCATTCTACCGCTAGTCTATAAAAAACGTATTAATACGTGTCCCGCGCTCTACTACCAGTCAATGTAAAATGTATAAGTAAAACGTATAAATACGTTTCCCGCATACAATGTGTTAACCAAATAAAGATGGTGGTTAATTTGCATATGCAGGTGCAGAGCGAAGACAACTGAAGATTACTGAAGACTGAAGAGGCTTGGCTTCTCTGCTGCAGCCGGAGCGGAGAAGCCAAGCCTCACTGCTGCGGCCAGACCAAAGGCCTGGGTCCCGGGTGCCAGAGGAAAACCGGTGCTGGCAGCCAGGGGAAGGAAGGCCTATTGTGCGAATCTTCCTGCAACAGGCCTCTAGTATATATATAGATTTGATTTTAAACACTTGATTTCTCATACTAGTATTTATAAAAGATTAGTGTCCCAGTGCACAGATTCATGCACATTGAAAAGCTAAGTGTCCGTCTGTCCGACTGGTAACTATGATGTGCACTGACCACCAGGGGACAGATGCTCAACGCAAGAGCTGCCATGATGTGCACTGGCCATCTTATATAAGCCTAATATACTAAGTGTCTGAATTAGAAAAAATACTTTAGTATTGCTACTCACGTATTGCTAATGAAAAGAAAATAGGATTCTACCAAGTCTCCTATCTACCAACTCTAGAACTTCTGTGAGGATCAAATGAGATGAGACACGGGAAAATGTTTTACAAACATTTGGTTAAACTGTAAAATGTTTGCACCTGGCTATAAAGCAAGTTGGGTTCCTCGGCTGAAGAGGATGCTAGTCGCTAGGGAGAGGAAGACGTACTATGTGATGTCATTACCCAGTGCCCACAGCCACCATTTCCAGACTGGGCTGGGCGTGGGCCGCATTTTGCGCCACGAGGTCTTGGCAGCGTTGGCTGTGATTTGGTGGGGTGTCACTCCTGGGGTGATGGCGGGGCCTGTGTCCCACTTGGGGGAAGCCAACTATTGGTTCGTCAGTGCTAGGTCCGTGGTGCTGTTTATTTTTAAACTATAGGTCCGGTGCATGAATTCGTGCACATTGAAAGGAAATTAATTAGAAATATTTTAGGGGCCAGGAAGGGACCATGGGAGGTTGGCTCCAGTGCATGTCTGGCCACCTCACCCAGTCCCGATCAACCGGACCCCAGCAGCAAGCTAACCTACTGGTCAGAGCGTCTTCCCCGATGGTCAGTGCGCATCATAGTGACTAGTCGAACAGTCAGACACGTAGTATATTAGGCTTTTATTATATAGAATGGCCAGTGCACATCATGGCAGCTCCTGCATTGAGCATCTGCCCCCTGGTGGTCAGTACACATCATAGCTACCAGTTGGAAAGACGGGACATTTAGCCTTTTATATATATAAAAATTGAGCAGTAAAGAAGTGTTGACAATTCCACAATTCACATTATGTTTTAATGTAAGGATTATAAAATACATACAATAAAAAATACAGATGGTATAAGGCAGCCGTGGGCAAACTATGGCCCGCGGGCCGGATCCGGCCCGTTCGGCTGTTCTATCCGGCCCGTGGAGCCGAAAGAGCAGAGGGTTCTCTTGCTCTCCCCTCCGCTCCTTCACCAGCAACAGTGTTAACATGGCAACGTCGGGAAACACGGCCGCAGCTCCTTCTTCTGAGTCCAGTTTAAGAACCCATTGTGGCCCTCGAATCAAAAAGTTTGCCCACCCCTGGTATAAGGTGATATAAGATAAATTAAAAACTTCCTCCCCATCCTCCAATCTTCCAGTGTCACAACTATAAATACAATAGTTTCTTTAAAATACTGAAATTTAACATTCTAACAAGCCATAAGGCCTGTTTCTTCTCCATTGGTTTGTTTTACATAGTGTAGAGATACATTAAAATATTAAGCCTCACTACTGTTATAGAAAAGGGCTGAAACTCTTAATTTTATAATAAAATATAGTTAACACTAGACTGCCAAAAGCCCGTGTTCTTCACGTTTACTATTCTCATTAATTCCTCATCACACACACATCCAACCCCTATTGATCACCAAAATTTTATAGTCTTATCTTGCAAGTGTAGCATATATATAATTAAACAGTTGATAAACATATAAAGATTGAGCACAAAGAAGGCCCACAGGGTACTGCTGTGCAATGTATCTACCCACAGGTTGATTAGGCCAGTTGTTATATTTGACAGCAAGAAAAAAATCAACTGGTTTCTGTTTATAGCTGTGATTAAACAAAGACTGGGTTTCTTTCTTTCAGCTTCAGAGACTAGAGATTCTGAATGCTTTTTATTTGTAGCAGGAGACTGGATAAGTTTCCAAGAACATGGTACTAGAGCCCCTTGAATTAGAAATTTGGCAAAACTCAAAATTATATCACCTAGTAATAAACTACTAAGAAGGATCAAGCTAGAAGCAATTATCCAAACACAAAAGGCTAAATTGGCCATTCTTCTAGATGCTGCTTCTACCTTTACCTGAACTATGTAAAGAGATACAAAGAGGCTAATAGCTAACAGTAGAATACAATACGCTACTTTTATCCAGTCTTTGATATGTGATCTTTTTTTAAGCACATATGACCCTGTTTGCACACCAGCCATGTGTATTGCCACATACCCCAAGGTAGACATTATTCCTTCTCGGTTGGCATTTAATAAACCAACCCTTGTGCCATTGCCATCAGTGCCATACAAAATTAACCTTTTCAATGGGGTCAAGTCAAGGGCTAGCTGGTATAATACAGTGATGCCAATGGCCATAATCCAGGATTTATTAGGTGGGAAAAACATCAAAAGCAGTGATGTTACCAATTTCACAACTATTAAGGTAAAGAAAAAGTTCCAATGAACTCCATATTCAGTTAAATGTTCCTGATAGCCTATGGATTTTATAATGATTAATCGTCCTACTCCTAGGAAGACTAATGGCCAAACAGAGTACAATGATTTTGTAAAATGATCAAATCTGGACCCTGCTATACATTTTCTCCTAATCTCTGGACAAACCATTGCAGTTCCAAACACAAAGCCTCCTACTCCAAAATCCATTGCTCCTGTCCCGTAGAGCTCAGTTTTGGCTAATCTTCTGGGGAAAAGTGGGAAGTCCACAGCCAAAATGGCAACAGCAGTAAAGGCACTGTTAATTACACGGAAACAGGAGATGGCTGGAATGTATTCTGATTCTAGACTAATTTTTAAGAATTTTTCAAGTATTTTCTGGACAGGCATTCTGACATAGCAAGTTCTCCGGCAGTATATTTGATAGAATAGCCCTGCCCCAAAGATAATTACAGTGAGGTGCTCAAGGTATACAAAGGAAGACAAAATGGTCAAAGTGGTCACCATGGGAACTATTAGGAAAACAAAGTCAATGAAGAATCGAGTTCTCCAGGTATGTGAAGACCACAAGTGCTGTGAGAGAATGATCAGGAGCCCTCTGCACAGGATGCAGAGCACAGGCAAGCACAAGCCCTGGGTAATTTCCAGCACGCTGGTTCCATTGTGGTTACTAACAAAAGCTTCCTTCATCTGCTTTTGAGACATTTTTTCTTCTTCCTGTTTTCACAAAGAGCAAAGGAATGCATTTGTGGAAAGCAGTGTTCTTGTGCAATTGGCATATATATGTACCTGACTTACTTTTATCTTCAATTTCAGAGTAGAACCTAGGTCTGTCGTGTGACTTCCTCTTCGAAGGATTGTGGGAAGAAGCCTAACACTAATACATGAGGATGCGAATGTTACACTAATAGCATGAAATTATTGGTTAAAAAGCTTTAGCTATTTTCAGTATAAGGCAGACTCACAAAAAAGTACATTTGGGATGATAAAAAAAAAAATCCCACAGTCGGACAGAAATTCCTATTACAAAACATGGTCTGTCATGAAGATTATGTAATGAAAATTGAGTACACATAACTAATGGCTATAAGTTAGATCAGACAGAGGGGAAGGGCAGGGGCAGAGAAGGCATTCAAGTACACTTGGAAGTTGGGGCCTTGGTTTTTGTTCAGAGCCTCCAGGACACACATCCGAGTCCCACAGTGGTCTCTTGAGCCCCAGGCTGCTCCTTACATTTACAGGTGCAGAATTTCCCGTTAGATATACGTTAGGCAGAATGGAGGCTAAGGGGTGGGGGTGGGGAGGGGAGGCTGTATAGTATAGCACATACTGGGGTTGTTTTATAAAACGCCTCTCGGCCACACAGCAATGTCTGAAAAGTGACACATGCGAACACATTTGTTGGTCCAACAAGAACGATGTAGAATAAATGAATTCATGACGGCCTAAGCCGGTAACAAACCGATTGGCTGGCTTAAAACTACAAGTCCTGCCCTGGCCGGTTTGGCTCAGCGGATAGAGCATCGGCCTCCAGACTCAAGGGTCCCAGGTTCGATTCCGGTCAAGGGCATGTACCTTGGTTGCGGGCACAGCCCCTGTGGGAAGTGTGCAGAAGGCAGCTGATCGATGTTTCTCTCATAATGTTTCCGCTAACTCTCTATCCTTCTCCCTTCCTCTCTGTAAAAAAATCAAT